CTTTTTTGACGAATTATTTGAATCATAAGAGAACATAGCTCAAACTGATGTTAGAAATGAAGAAGCAGTCAAATTCTTATAAAGCCAGTTTAAGTGCCACCCAAAAAGAATTTCGAAGGCTCTACCAAACAAAATAATTCAAAATCAAGTATAATAATAATAATAATAATAATAGTAATAATAATAATAAAGATGATGATGATGATGATAATAATAATAATGATAATGAGGTGAAAAGTTCAATTAGCACACCTGCGATGACCTGTCGCCCTCTTCCTTTACCATCCTTAGCACCCTCAATAATCCCTGGTAAATCAAGGAGTTGGATTTTCGCTCCTTTGTACCGAATCACACCTGGTACAGTAGTAAGGGTTGTGAATTCATAGGCAGCAACCTCTGAATATACACCAGCTAAGTTGGTTAACAGTGTTGATTTGCCAACAGATGGGAATCCTGCAAAGAAAACAGCAACAATATCGGATCATGTGTACTAAAGGCATCCATGGTCAAGTGTCGATCAATACCCTCCATTGATACCCTCGATCAACCCTCCATCGATACTCGACCGACACTCCATCAACACTTTGGTTGACACTTGATCGACACTCCATCAACATCTCAGTTGACATTCGGTCGAGAGTCAACTAAGTTCTGATCGATTCATACGAGTGTGTCCACCCACACTTGGCCTACTATCGACCGATTGTTGATCAAAATGTCAATAGAGTGTTGATGGAGTATTGATCGAGACGTCGATTGAGGGAATCAATTGAGGGTATCGATCGACACTCAACCATGGATGCCTTTAGTACACATGACCCACAATATCTGTAAAAAAATTCTCTTTGCTCTTTTTAAATAACAGTTTGTTGAAGTATTTCTAGGAGAAGTCATGGGAAAACCTTTTTCAAATCCATATTTCCATTCTCAGCCAACAACTAGGAGTTTGACTACATATCAGCAAACTGTCAGTACAACCAGCAAAAACACTGCGGGGTTCCTGCAATGGACTAGTGTCCCATCTAGTGGGCGTAAAATACTTCTGTAGTTACTTCATTCATGGCTGAGGTCACTGGGGTTGAGTGCTGAACAGTATTTAAATGAGTCACTTGGCTCATAATATAATCTCTCAGACTGAGACAGATCCAATCCCCTAACATAGTTTTCAGAACTACCACCGAAAAAACCATCATGATCATAGTGGCACAATAATACTTTGAGCTTGAGACTGGATTATTAATGCTTACATGGCACACATCAGAATGCATGGAATTTTGAGCAGTGACAAGGTTCTTGAGCCATTTGGTACAAGCAGACATTGTTTTTCAGAAGGGTTTCACCTGACTTACCAACAAAACCTATTCTAGCATCCCCAGTCTTTGCAACATCAAAACCTGTAGAATTACAGAAAGGTAACTTAAGTAAGTTGTGCGAAATCTGCTTCTAAATGAACTTCAACAAAAAGGAAATTTGATAGTATTACAGTGTGTACATGTACGTTAAGCATGATAGAAATATGAGGAAGACGTTAATGAGTATCAGTATCTCAAGTTACTTGGTAAAAAAAAAAATCACATTTCTCCCAATAAGGGTAGCACACTTTCTGAAAAAGAACCTCAATGGCAAACATCTAACAATATTGATTACCATGCTGTTTCCAAAAGTATGACTCCAAGCTGAATATAAGCTTACTACAACTGGCACATTTAGGAACATTTCAGGTATTACGGAAGGAGGGGTGCTTTCAAAAAAAAAAAAAAGACTGCCAGGCCACCTAAACTTCCAAAAGGACAAACCCAACCCCCACCACAAGAAAAAAAAAAAATCCTGCCACAACATCAATTCAACAAACACTTTCCTATCAAAATTCCATTTAACGTCAAATCACATAAACAGGGTCAAAAATCTGAAAGTTTCCTATTGTAACCCAGAAAATCATGGGGGTAGGATAGGCAGTCAAAATCTCCCCATTAGGGGTAAGGAACAGAGGCCTCGAAAACCGGTCTCTACTGCTCCTCAAAATACCTCGTACCTTTTTCTGCTGTTAAATAGGGAAATAAAGAGTGGGAGAAAATCGCTAAGATAAAAATGTGTTGCTTAGCTTTTACAGCGAGGACACTCGAACCGCGAACACAGTTTGATATTTTTTTTGTACATGTTTTTAGTGACCATAGAATGCGGGCTCTTCTTTTAAGAAGAGTATTTAGTGCTTTTACACTTTAAAAATGCTAACATTATACGTTACATGAAGAGCTTTTATTCTATAGTCATCAAAAAATGTTAAGTGTTCACGTTCGTGTCCCTTACACTGTATAAATAAGCTTACGTGTTGATTACAACATGATCACCGTCTCTCAAAATACTGAGATGAATCAGGCGATTCCGCTTCGTATTGACCATAAGCGATCGAACATGACACTAACCCTCTCCTGTCGCACCCCCTCCGCCTTTTGGTGTGATCAGCTCCCTTCGTAACTTGGCCAGTCGTGCTTTTAACAATCCAAGATGGTGGGCTGTCGCCTTGTTCTTCTGTGTTCGCGCCATCTGCAATTGATCGAAATAACGCACGTCTAAGACTTAAATGAGAGACGATTTGTAAATAAGACACAAGATAAACACCTCGCTTTCTATTTCCGCGATTTTTTCAAGGATGCCCATGATGAAACACGCGAAAATATTAGAGGAAACACAAATCTCTGATTTCTCTCTCCATACACGTGAGCTGGTACTATATATGATGTATGTACCGGCAACACGGAAAACCGCTGACAAGTATTTTTCATGTTCACGTTCCGGCTGACACTTACACAAAATGAAATGAGAACGAAATGAAACGGGACGACCGCTTGCGGTACCACCCACGTGATAAGAATCCAGCGCTTGGATCCTTTGGAAAGGGTTGCTCTTCTACACCCTAAAATGGAAGAAATAATGGAATATTCCATAATCTTCAAATGTATACCAAAGACAAGAAATTGAGAGAACCATTTGGCGATTTTCGATCTCGATTTGCGCTCACCCTCCTCTGGACCATCTGTACCTGTATCTCTCCGCCGGAATCTATAACACGCTACTTATCTTGAATTTTTGGCTATCCTACATTGAGGAACCTTTATCCAAGTTTTACTTTTTGTTAACTCTCGAGAGAAGTTTTGCAGCCGTGAAATGTGTTTTCTTTTAATTTACTGTAACAACGACATGCTACGGTAGCGTCGTTTTTTTGTGCCGCGATGCCGCGGTCAGAGAGCGGACTGAGCCGAGAGATTGACGTTGAAGCGGAGGACGGAACAACCAATCAAATAAAAGCGCGCGCTTAGAGAATTCAATTGTTACGCTGAGCGCGCGGCTAAAATCTTCAGTCGCACGGAGATTATTCTTGCGAGCGGGCGCGTTTTGAAGTGCAGCGAGTGAAACGTTAGAAAAACACGTCTTTCTTGACCATGATCGTTTACAAAGCAACAGTGTGCTTTATACTGGTGATTTGTTGTCCAATTCATTTGTTGTTGACTAACTTTGCCGGAAAAATCCAGTCAAATCAGGAAAAAGGTAACAAAGAAGGGATCCTTGCATTTTCAAAGCATCTTTGATGTTAAGTTACTGTAAGAAAACTGTTATCGTCGACTTCCACGGCTGTTGAGAGAGCCTGCGTCTCGACCAGTTTTGACAATATATTATCATTTTCGTTTAGTTTTTCTCTGAAGTTTGCTTTGTTTTGAAAAGTTTCACCCTTGACTGAGGTTTTTTAAACTTTTGACGTCACAGTCACTACAAAGCGCGCGCGTACCGTGACGTCATCTCTTGTGAAAAGCGCGAGCTTACACTCGTACCCAGGAAATCCGCTTGGAATAATGATGCCCAAGGGTTAAGCCCAAGGGAAGTTCCCATTAGGTAGGGAGTAGAGGGAAGGAGGACCCCTAAAAGAGCTTACTTGTGGAAGGCGAGCCGCACAATCACGTAAAAACTTTAAAATTAAGTTTTTATTCTGGACAAGCAAGTAGATTTCAGTGAGGCCGAAGCTCGTAGTTTTCGCAACAGAAGTTTTACCCTTAAAAGTAAAGTAAAACGCTATATTTTAGAATGCACAATTTTAGTTTTGTGAATAATTTTACCTAAAGCTGATCGCTC